AACTTAGTTAAGGAAAAAAGTACAACACTTGGTCTTCTGTTTATTGTGTTTTTGTGCTTATTTTTGTGTGTTTTATGTGCTTTAGTTAAGTCTTTTTAAATTCATTTTAGTGTTGACCAGTCTATTTTATCGTGTTTTGTGTATTTTTATTTTTGTCTTGTGTTTTTGTATTTTTTCGTATTTTTATTGTCTTTTTTTTTGTGTTAAATAGGTCCATCATTGCGAAGCTTGGTAAACCTAGTCGTCCGAGCCAACCTAGCCACTGAACCTTCCGAGCCATTGCCAAGCCATCCCGAGATGTTTCTGAGTCACCCGAGCCATCCCGGGCCATAACCGAGTCAAGACCCACACCTGCCAGCACACCGGCCGCACTAGGCACTCGCCGGCGAGATTCAGCCCGCGAGTGTCGCTAGCCCTGCTTTGATCGAACTCGCCTGCGAGCTACAATCCGCGAGCTCGCGAGTGCGCCCAAGGACAAGACGAAGTCGCCCGCGACCTGTGATCCGCGCGCCCGCGAGTGCACCCAGGGACAAGCCGAACTCGCCCGCGACTTGTGATCCGCAAGCTCGCGAGTGTGCCCAGGGACATGCCAAACTCGCCCGCGAACTTATCTTCGGTTACCCCCCACGAGTTATATTCATTACATGTGTGTGTTTTTAGTTGTGTTTGTGATGTAACTATAAATAAACATTGTGTCTGTATTTTTTGATATCACCCCTCATTTTCTAACTTTTTAGTTGGGAAATTAGCTCCTTTTCTCTCTTTTATTTTTATGCTTTGGTTTGGAGGTTCAAGACTTGACATTTTTCGGCGACTTTTCCGGTGACCTTATTTTTATCCAAAATTCTATCTTTACGCATTATTTTGTTCGAGCTTGCGATAGGAGGGTATATGCCTTGATTACGGCTTATTTTTTCGAGTTTGTGCTTTGGCCAAAATCTTGTGCAATGCTCGATTTTAGGACTTTGTTTTATTTTCGTTGCTTGTTCAAGTGTATTAGGATCATTCAATACGTGCTTATCTTGTGTAAATGTCTCGACTTTGTTCAAAGCGTGATGATTTAGTTAAGAAGGTTCGTGTTAGATTACCTAGGATCACTTCGCTCGCATGTTTTCTCTTTGTTTATTTTTATTTTCGTCAAGTTAAGGAAACTCCGTGCATTCAAAGTTCCCATCTTTTTTCTAAAACTCTCATCTTTCATTAATTGCTTCAATTTTTAGTGCAAAATTAGCTTAATTAACCCCTCATCAAGCGAATAGCATGTCTAGGACCCTATCTTCGGTTTTGTGAATTGACGATTAGATAGTGAACAAAGTTCTGAACAACCTTTCATCGAAAAGACGACCCGAGTGAGATCCTCTGATCGTATTCGGCTAAAAACTACGAACATCTTCAGGACCTAATCTTCAAGATTATTTTGAGTTTGTCCTTCCTCCTGAAGACAATAGTCTTCAAGTTTACCCATACCAATACCATAAATGTATTTTTCAAAACTAGATGTAGGAAGAAATTTGGCGAACAAATATGTCAAATTCTCGCTAGATTGTACTTATTGTACAATAAAATCACTGCTTTTTTGGAGCTCGTGTGGGTAAAAGAATTTTGGAGCAATGTGTTTTGTCATACTTCATTTGACATACCCACTTTTCATTTATAAAACACAAGCTGCATTTACAAAAGCGCATAGTTAATTATTAATTCAGCACCTTTAGGAAGAGTAAGTAAAGCTTTGTCGGAGCCTATTATCAAGATTTTATCATGAGTAAGTGTAGAAACACTTCCTTTCTTTTCATTTAAAGTTTGAAAAAATTCCATATCTTTCAAAATAGTGTGCATCGTAACACTGTCGATCAGACATAAAATGTCTTCTTTCCATTAGATGCAAACTAATGAATGATTGTGGTACACTTGACAGGAAAGGCACAATTCTTTCCTGAGCGTGACATGCTTATTGTGATGATATAGCTGGAGAACAAAGGATTGAAGATTGACCTCAAAAATCATATGAGGGCCCTTCCTCTAGCGCCAAACTGTTGTCATGTGATTGTAAACAACGATTTTGTGTGTGATTTATCGAGTATTTAAAATAGCACATGCATGAAAAATACAAGCGATGGCCCCGGTCCGAGGTGAACCGAGGTGAAAGATGTGGAGCGGTTTGATATATATGTGTTGAATGTTCATAGAGTCATCCCTGTACAAGTATACAAATCTCCTATTTATAGTATCTTTTTGGACCCGTATCTCGAGGTGTACGGTAGCTTTTTCGTAAAGTGGCTTTTTGATGGGCGGCCATGTGAGTGGGTCACGCGTAAATGATGAGATTTCTCGTGGCGTGAGACTGCATCGAGTGTGCGCCTTGTCACCTGCTTTGGAGATGGCGACCTCGGTTTGTAGTGACTTAGGTTTTCATAGAGCAAGTCAATTTTCTCCACGTCACGTCGAAATTCGGTAGCGATATGAACCGAAGTGATCAGGTTTCGGATAAGTGTCAATAATGATCCATATCAATAATGAACCGTTTCAATAATGATCCGTTTAACGTGTGATTCGGGTGAGTAATCGTGGATTACCGGATCGGAGGATAACAGGTAACTTGCTTCGTTTCTTCGTTGGAGATAACCTTTGCAGCTGGGACCAGCGTCTAAGCCAGGCCGAGTTTGTGCATAATTTGGCGGTTAGTCGGGTGACCGGATACTCGCCGTTTGAGACGGTCTATGCCGTTAGCCCTCGCGGCCCGTCTGACTTGTTATCATTGTCGGCGGGGGCCTCGGTTGATCATCGTGCTTCAGACCTTATTGCCGAGTTGAAGTCCACTCATGAGAAGGCTCGGGCTCGTTTGGAGGCCACCACGGCCGCTTACAAGCGGCATGCGGACGCCAAGATGAGGCACGTGGAATTTGAGGTTGGTGACTACGTGTGGGCGGTGTTGATGAAGGACAGGTTCACGGCCCATGAGTTCAATAAATTATTTGCCCGCAAGATCGGCCCTGTTGAGGTGATTGAGAAGATCAACCCGAATGCTTATCGCCTTCGCCTACCATCCCACATTCGCACTTCTGACGTTTTAAACATCAAACACTTGGTTCCATTTTCAGGCGACAATTCCGATGGAGGCGAGACCGGTCTGGATTCGAGGCCGAATCATTCTCAACCAGGGGAGGATGATGGAGACGAGACCGCCTTAGCATATTTTCCGCATCTTCCGAAACCAGAGTTGGAGCACAATCGAAATAGAAGAAGGTCATTTCAAATCTCCAGCAAGTGCCAAATCATACTCAAAAATATGACCAACTCCGAATTTAGTTTATTTATTTAGTATTATTTTTCCTTTTAGTAATTTTTATTTATTTCTTTATTTAGGTATTTTTAATTAGTACGAAATAAATATTTTGCACTTGTTAGGCAAGATGGGATTCTTTCTTATTTTTATGCGCGTAAGACACAGAGCAGAACAATTTATGATGAAATTTATCTGATTTAAGTGAATTGTTCGAGAGAGTATCTCGTTCCTTTTCCCTTTCGTATTACGTTCTACATCAGAGACGAAAGACAACACGCATAAGATTGGGTTCGTTTCATTGACATTATAGTAATCGAAATTTTCGCATGAGTTTACTTAATTATCTAACTAATCATATCAGCATGGCATGCTGAATATTGACTGGGATCAATATGTATAATCATACTATATGAGATCTTGACCTCTGAGTCTCTGACTGCCACCAAAATAAAAAGAGTGTGTGTGTGGGGGCAAGAGTTGACTATGAAAGTAGTCAAAGTCAAGCAATTTGATCGTGTTTCGCTTTTACCCCATGCGTTGTCAATATATTACTACTAATTATCAGCGCATGCATCTTAAGTAGTCAACCATGCGATTTAATGTAGCTTAAGCGGTCAAAAAATCCCACTAAGATGCTGTTAAAGATAGGCTAAGATTTTTTAACTTTTAAAACTATGATCAACTTTGTCAACTATGTATAATGCCAACAAGTAGTTTGATGCTTGACATATGCATAAATTATAATTATGCCTGATCTGCAGCTAAAATTAAAGCTATGAAACAAGTAGTTGGAAAATTAAAATTGGAACTGACGTATTTTACAGAAATAGAATTAGTCTTTGTTCTGTCATGGACATGTATTGTGTTCCTCAAATCGAGACTTTCTTTGTCGAGGATCTCTAGTACTCCATCGAGTTTCAGTTTCTTCTTCTGATGGTTGTGTCCGTCTAAGGTGGCTATTTGAGCGATTTAAGTATCTCAGTTGTCTTGAGCTCTGGATTGATGGACGGAAACCCGGGGGCTGGGATCCCTTCTCTACCGCTGAAGGTAGGTAGGGAAGACATAAAGGGCAGCCTTTCAATAATCTATATACTATTTGCAAAGGCGAGATGAAATTAATAATAGTTATATATTTGAGTTGACTAGTTTTAACCCGTGCATTTGCGCAAAAAAAAATATATATGATAGAAGAAAACGTAATAAAAATACAAACAAAAGTGAAAATCATAACTTAATGAGAAGAAAAGATTACTAGGTCCTCTTATGTCGTTCAGTTGTAATCCTTTTTTCTTATCTTTGTTTAAGTCTATTGTTTAAACCTGTTGGAGTTGCTTAAGATGCTAAAGGATTCAGGAATGATTCCTGCCTTTAGCTTGCTTAGTGTTGGCCTGATTGTTATTCTAGAGCACCAGGTGGGTGTTTCTCCATTTGTATAGCCTTTCTTGAGGCCTCTTGGTCTCTCGGCCTGTAAAACTCATATTTTGGTTTATTGAATTCTATCGTTTCGAAAAAAAAAAAAAAAAAAAAAAAATTCTAGTAACTAGTAGGGAAGATTTTATCAAAGGTTTATATATATCTGGAGCATTAATACCTATGGGACAATGACAACTTAACTTGTTACATTTATATCATGAAATTAGCCCTCCCTTTTTTGGTACACAAAGGCTTATTATTACATTGCATGTTAGCTCCAGGGACAGCATTCAATATACAAAACCTATTTCTTCCAAACGGCGTATCTATGCCCGCTGGTCGCCAATGTCCATTCCTTTCCAGAAGGGCACCAAGACCCGTCTCCTATCTTCATCGTTATCTTGTCTCCAATACTGGCAGCATACAGGTTTTGCTGTGCCTCCAGGATCTTAATCGACGATCGGCTGTTTATTCCTTGACCCTTCCTGATATCAATCTGGAAAATTGAAATCACATGATTAAAGTTCAAAACATGCTCTCAAGCAAAATAGTGAAATAATTAGGTAGGTCGTGATAGAAGATATATTAGATGCCAAAATTTACCAGCTTCACAATCTGATCGTGAATCGAACTACCCCAGTCGTAGAAATGGTCGTAGAACACTGAGGGTATGCCAGGGTGTGTGAGTATGTATGCGTACCCCTGTGACGTAACACACATATAATGCAAATCACAATAAGTAAATCTATAAAAAAAAAATAGTATTTATTGCCTGTGTTACACGAGTAAAGATTGCTACTAGATGTAATAAGAACGGGAATTCACGAGTACCTCCATAATGTGATGTGATGGGAAAGGCCAATGTGCCTGACAATAAACAAATTATCAATTAGTCATTCAAACTTCAATGGCAAACCTCTTCGTGTTAAAAATACAATATATAGTGAATTCCATTGCAACAATAGAAAAAGCAAATGATGACCCTTTGTGATCACACCCTTAGTGGTCCTCGGCAAGGACGGATTTAAGGGGAGCGCAGAATGGAGGTCGGCCACTTGGACTTCTGAAAGTGCTATTGATGTATGATTGTAACTTATATTTTTAATGAATAATCCTTATAAAGCCACAAATGGTTGCAAATTATATTACCTGTGTTGACCCAGTATCATGGTTGTCAAGAAATGTCACAGCTCTTGAAGGCCACCACCCGATGACACCTGGTGGCTTCCCTTGTGGATCACGCAAACGCCAAAATTCTCCTTTCACGGCTTCCTATAATCAATCAATAGAGCCCACTCGATTTCATAGATAATAATAAACAAAGATAAAGCAACTTTCACAAACAATCTTTTTTACCTGGAGAATCCCCTTGGTAGTGAAGTCAAACGCAGCTGCTAGTTGTCCCGTGCTATCTATCCAGTTGATAATCCTTTGTCGGTGACTATCTGCAATTGAATTGAACTAGGCTAAGCAGACAAACTAATAATAATTAAAAAAAAAAAAAGAGGTAAATCATGTTGAGAATTTGCTCCTCACTTCTATTTACCCAGAAACTCTGCAGAATCACGTTATGCATAATGTAGAGAATGAACAACCAAGCTAAAAAAATGAGAAACTGATCAGGAACCTATAGTCAAATCTAATAGAAGAAAATTAGCTTTGTATTGGTTCTGACGGTGAATAACCAAGTGTTTTCAAATATACCATATGAAAATTAACCACATGATATTTCTGACGAGAAATATATATATATATATATATATATATATATATATGTATAAAAAAAAATTAAAAAGATAACAGATCGGAGCTTCCTGTGAATTATTTCGATGCAGCATACTAAACGTGGAGTTGAAAACTGATACTCTGATTCCATGTATGAATTATTCAAGAGTGAAACCTATATACCTTGGTTGTACTCCAAGGAGCTGCCTTTGTAGTTGCAAGAATCCCAATATTCACCAACAGAAAATATCGGCTTTGCATTTTCAATATATTCCTTCACATATTTGGCAGAATAACTGGACAGGTAAACATGAAATAGCAGATCAGGCTTCATTGGAACAAGTTATGTAACAATTTGGATAAAACAGAGCATAAATAGTGAATTATACCCTCTAGCAAAATCAAACCGAAAATCCTGGAAACCGACATCATTTCTCAACCACTGAAGCCAGTTGGTTATGTCTTTCCTCACAAAGTGCTGGGTGTGATCAATGTTCGGGACTCCATTAAAATTGTCCCCAGTACTTTTGTTGCCCTAAATGGTTATTCAACACAAAAGAAGGTGAATATGCTGCTGAAACTGAAATGAAAACTTAGTAATAGCATAAGATCATACAAATTGATGCTACAATATAATTATAATGCTTCAACTTTTACATATAATCCTATGTAACTTAAATTACCTTTCCACCAGTACAGGCTGTGACCGCATGCTCGTCCCATGCTAGCGGTATCCCATCATAACGGTTGTACATACCACCATGCCCTTTAGTGGTCCCCACCCGATGATTTATGACTATGTCAGCCATTGGTCTAACTTTGTGTGTTTTCATCTTGTTAAGCAGAGCTTTTAGCATGTTCTCGGAACCATATGAAGAGTTGAGTGAGTAAAGGTTCTGTGGAAGATAACCTGCCGAGCAAGAGAAATAATAGAAAATTTTAACCCAAAAAAACGAAATGAATGGAAAGCACAGATATATAAAATCATCAGTTTACTCTTTTCTACTGACCTTCAGGTGCAAATGAGTGTGTGGGCGGGGGCAACCACGCAGATGTGAATCCTGATTTAAAAATATCAGGGACCTTTTTCTCCAAGTTCCTCCACCAATCATGTTTGTGAGACTCCCAATTGAAAGCCTGGAAAGCAGCTTATCACGACATGGTTCAAATTAATATACAAATTCCCGCTCCTAAAAAATTCTGCTCAAAAAATAAGAAAAAACTGACAATTGTGTGTTTAAATGTTTATATTAGCTAATCAACTGCCACATGCTGTGCTTTAAATCTTTGTCCTATCATGTTTTCAATCATCCAAATGAATTTGAAATAACTGACCGATCAACAGTGCTTATAGAAAAATAATATTGGATACTTATTATGACAACAGATCACTTTCACTATAATTTAAAGAAAAAACTTGAAGAATAAGTCACCTGCAACATAATTTCTTTTCCATTGCGTATTGCTGCACCTGCACCATTGAAAAGAAAGAATGTTTAAACCTTTGTCAATCTTCTTTTCAACAAATATTGATGGAAATTCAGATACTACTAGAGCTGCAAATCAACTCAACATTGAAAAAGTCTCAGATATCTAAACGTATATATTCCAAGGCGATCATGAAATGAATCAATATCTTACTAAATAACATCTTTCACTCGAAAGACTAAAAGCGAATCATTAATACATTATATGAGAAAATGATAGCACTCCAACTGGCATACAATATTTCGAGACAGAATAGGGAGAACAATGTTTCGCTACTTTCAGTGCTGAAAACCTCACACTCTGAAACATAATTTTCTCACCTCTGCGCTGGACGTCCAGAAAGCGATGCTATGACTTGATATTCAACTCTTTTTGTCTTAGTGTTTTTCAAAACTTCTGAAAGTTATCTGTCATGAACTCTTTACCGGTGCCTACGTCATTATTTATAGTAAGACCTCTCTAGACTTATAAGTATAATTCATTATTCCCCATCATGTCATGTCTTACGAAAAAGGAAACAATAAAGAGAAAAATGTTCAGCCACAGAGAATGATAATAGGGTTACATCTGCACTTTTGATATTTGACATACGGGATTAGTATGCTTGTTTTCTATTATCGAATAAAAATATTTCTTTCAACTAGCTATTTACCTAGGGACGGATCACCTACATATTAGTTATGTTTCAGAGTACATACACACACACACACTCAAAGATAGTTTATAATGACATCTTCAAACTAAAAAGTAGAAGTGGAGGTTCAAGTAATTCAAATATATAAGGAAACAAATACCCAAATACCCAAGAAATATAAACTGATTTAAAGGGAGAATACTAACCAACATCAATCTGCTGATTATTTTTATCCATTTCCTGCATGCAAAGAATAAATTACATGAGACACTTGAAATTTTTACCATACTAATCGAAATAGCTCACAAGATCAAGGTGATATCCTTATATTTACAAGTACACTCAGCATTCAACAAACAATCGAAAAACCATAAGATACCGATCAAGATAGGGCGTGTGCACTTACATTGCTCATGTAATCCATGCTGTGCAACAAGTTGCGTATTCAGTCTGCAGACCAAACGAGGCTTCTGCATACAGCAAAAAACATTACTACTGAAGGAAGAAGCGTAAATCACAAAATCAAGCCTTCAACAATTATAGGGAACCGAAATTGAACAGAAAGCAGATTGGGTTTATCATTCTAGAACATTTACACTTCAAGACGTGTCTGTTGATTTTTTTTATCGATCAATTCATGTACTCAGCTTCAGAAAAATCCATAAGAACCACCACAATCAGTACTATTTTATTTGAAATTGTAATTTTATATCGACCACATGTTGCACTGAAAGACAAAAGAACGCACGCAGTGCAGAGCAACATGAATAGTAATTAGTAAACAACAGAAACCTAAAAAACAAAAAAAAAAAAAAATGAACTGCATAAGGGAGAAGACGCACCTAGAAAATGAAACTGCAGGCTCTTGAACCAACTGATGGCAGCACGAACTGAAGGTGTCGATCTTCGCCCTCTATTTATAGCTGGAGAAAGGCTAAAATAAAGATGCTGGGAAGCCAAAAAGATAGAAAAATTTTCAATTTCCAGCCATGCATTGGGAGAAAATATTCGAAAGTGCGAAACACTTGGTGGGTAAAGAAAAGGAATAGAATACCACGAACCGACGGATGGAACAGCTCCGATCGCAGAGAATCTGGGTTTTGGGGGGGAAAAGGGGGTTTGGCCTACAGTTGCTTTCGGTGGGGAATTTGGGTCAGATTCGTCCAAATTTCAACGGTAGAGGACGGAGCTGGGTAGGTGCAAGCCGAGGAAATTTTGAAAATGGAGGGATCGCCGGAGAATAATCAGATGACCGGTATGTTGCATTGCGTGGGTGGTTTTTTCATAGTTATATATATACATTCGGCTAAAATGCATTTTTGGTCTTGACTTTTGGATGTCCGTGCAATTTTAGTCCTTTTCTATAGGTATGTGACACATTTAGTCCCGCGATTAAATTTTTTGGCGCAATTTCTTACGTTAATTTTAGGGATTTTTGGCCGGAAATTGCACGTGCCGCCCACGTGACTGATCTTCACCCGATTAATGCCGACCTGGCCCGATTCTTGCGCATGTGGCCTTGCAACCTGCTCGACGTGGAAAATAAAAACATTAAAAAAATTAAAAAATAAATAAAAAATGAGATGGCAAAGTAAAATTGCCACCTCAGACGAAATTGGAGGGAAAATGGACTGCCCGTAAGTCTTTATATTGCTCCAATTTGTTCAGACCGTCCCATGAACCCTAATTTTTCAGTCATGGAGGAAGTATCAGAGGGCTCCTACATTGCGTCGGAGAAGGAGTGCGATAGCGGCAAACCAAGTATTGTTCGTACATCTTGGACATCCGAAAACCCAGGAAGACGGTTCTACTCATGCAATTATAAGGTATCTTCCAATTTAAGTTCTGAAATAAAGAACCCTAATTTTGCAGAAATTTTCAATTTTTTTTTTTTATTTTGTATTAATCAGAGAGGAGGAGGGTGCAATTTTTTTTCTTGGGTTGATGGGCCGATGTGCACTCGGTCGAAGCAATTGATCCCTGGACTATTGCGCAAATCGAATGAGCTGCGCCAGATTCTGCAAGAAATTCAAGAAGAAAATGATAAACTGAAGGAGGAAAAAAAGAACTTGGCAGCTGAGATGAAAAGACTGAAAATATCCATGAGGACCAAGTTAAAGAGTACAATGTGGTTGTCTTTGTTGCATCTGCTATCATCTTGTATCAATATCTGAATGCTAAAGACTGTGGTGCCCAGGGTTCATTTAAAATGATTACTTAGTGAATGTATTGGTGAAGTTGTGTTTGTATTTGGTGTTTTTCTTTATGTAACTTTAGCCTTTATGGTTGGTTTAGGATGTAGGAAGGTTGACGGATTGTGAATCTATGTATGAAGGTTGATGGATTGTGAAGTTGTGTTTGTGTTTGTAATGCTTCTGTTTGTGATGGATAGAATCCATGTAGTTGTGTTTGTTATGCTTATAATATTAAAATGAAATGAACTCTTTGCAGTTTGATTGTATCAACTTTGAAGGTTATGTGTTCTATCCTATTTATGTTTGTTATACTTTTAAGTACATTTCATTTCCAAAAGCACCTGCATCTGATATGATAAGCAAAGCAAATGCTCAAGTAAAGTAAACTGCAACAAAAATAAGTTTTCATTCATTCATTGCAAGACCTTCCATCAAAAGCAAAACCACAATGTCTTCCCAAAAGCACATTGACCCCTTACAAAAGCAAAATCCAAAAGCAGTTGGAACAAGTACAATAGTTTTCCCACAATCAAAAGCAACAATTTATACATGTCTTCCCACAATCAAAAGCAATAGTTTTTCCCACAACCAAAAGCAACTGTTCTTTGACTAGTTTCTGCCACCAAAATGGTTATTACCCAATGACTTTTGAAGCTGTTCAAAAGGGGTTGGTCCTGTTTTGGATTGTACCCTTGGAATTTGGTACTCATCACAAATTGGTCCTCTAAACTGCAATTCTTCATTGGAGTATGTACCCTTCCTCTGTATTTGGTGGCAACATGGTTGGTCTCTCAACCTTATATCCAAGACATAAAAAGATTATAATCAATATGCATAAAAACATTGAATAAAACTGAAACTACTATGACTATTTACTTACACTAGTACTAGATTGGCCAATATATGCTTTCTTCTGTCTATTAGAAGCTCTTGCTCTTTTTCTTTCAATCTGCATTCATAGCATAAAAAAAAACAAATGAACAGAGTTGTAACAAAAGCAGAAAAAAAAACAATAAAAATAAAGTAAGATGTAATTGACTTACAATGGTGTCAAAAGCTCTCTTCAGAGGAGAGTTGTCAACTTGGCCACCTTGCTTTTTTCTTCTGTCACATGACCTTGTATTATGACCAGTCATCCCACACTTCTTGCAAGTAACTCTCCAGCCTTGTTTGAACATCCTAAGTGAATTCTTTGTCTTCTTCTTCTTGGGCTCTTCAGGACCCCTCTTTCTGCCTCTTGATGGCCTCCCAGGACCCCTTCCAAAGTTAGGAGGCAATGGTGGAATGAAAAGAGTCTGAGCCCATTCAGATGCACTATTTGTTCAAAAAATTACACCAGCATACACCTTCTTGTACAATTGTGCAGAGTACCAATGAGAGACAAAGTGAACTGGATCCCATTTTTGTGCTAAAATAGCACTACCAGCATGCTTACATGGGATTCTTGATAAGTCCCAAACCCTGCAACTGCAGCTTTTTTTTTTCTCCAAGTCAACATTGAACTGAGACCCATCATAGCACTTGATTTCAAAATGAGTGTCATTCACACTTAATAGGCATACAGTATGAGACATGGGATAGATGCTTCTGTAGGATCAAGTTGATAGTAGGACAAATTCTTCCACTCCATTTTAAGTCAGCCTTATCCTTTTTTTTTTTAAGTTCGGTGCACAAGTATTCCCTGATCCACTCACACATGGTTATTATTGGTTTCTCCCTTGCCTCAAGGATGTTGCTGTTGAAGGTCTCACATATATTGTTAAGCAACAAATCACACTTTGGTAAATCAGAAAAGAATGCCCTGCACCATTGTTGTGGTGGTTTATTCATAAACCAATTGAATGCTTCAACACTCATGCCTTTAATTTCTAACATTCTTGCAGTAAAATCTCCCACAGTTGTGGCCTGGGCTACCTTCCATACAGCATGCTTATAAGCCAATCCTCTGAACCCAACATTAAGGAAATTATTGTGCAAATAACACAGAATCTATGTGCTGCCCCAGGGAAGACAATGTCAAAGGCCTGTATAAGCCCTTTCTGTTTATCAGATATGAATGTCTGCATTTTTGGCCTTGAGATATCCAAATCCTTCTTCAAAATGGTTAAAAACCACTCTAAATTCTCTCTGCATTCCACTCCAACCACAGCAAATGCAATAGGGAATAAATTGTTGTTAGGGTCTACTGCAACTGCAGTTAACAAAATCCCAGCATGTGGCCCCTTCAAATGACACCCATCTATACCTATCAGTGGTCTACAACCAGCTTTATAACCCTCTTTATAAAACTTACTAAATCTCTCATCACCACTCTCTTTTTCAGTTGCCAATACCACTGTTGAACCAGGATTGGTAGATCTGAGCTCCTCTGCATAATCCCATAACTGTGAGTATTGAACATCAGAATGTCCCTGAAGAACATTCATGGACCTTCTCTTATCTCTATAAGTCTGATCTTTGGAGATAATCACATTCAGCTCATGAATTACATCAAGTCTCCAGCCCTTCACACTTCTCTTTGGGTCAGTTTGAAAATTGCTAATGTACCTCTCACTCAGCCACTTAGACTTAATGTTCTTCACATTGAAGCTCCCATGACATGTATGAGTGGGATTATACTCTCTAATCTGGTAACTACATTGTCCCTTCGTTTGTAAAAGATTACACCTCCACTTACAGCCTTCATCATCACATCTAACATAGACCCTAATCTTATCATTTTTAATTGTCTTTAGGGTCCTTTTTGTTTTGATTGAATGTGATTGAATGACCTTTCTAAACTCTTGTTTAGTTGCAAAAACCATTCCCAACTCAAACACAGGATAAAAAATGAGTTCATGATTGAAAATAAGAGTCTCTACCTCTGGCTCATTTTCACTATCAACTAAGTCATCTAACTCATCAGAATTAGCAACCATATCTTCATTATCAATATCACTAGACTCTGACTCACTCTCTCCATTAGAACCTGCATCTACATGCTCAAAGAATAATGCATCATCATTTTCACTACTAGCATCCCTCATGTCATAATCACTATCAAAGAATTCATCATACCAATCAGTAGAATACCCACTATCCTCATTACCCTCAGCATCACTCAAATGAACACTTTTTCCTTTGTCAACCCTAGCAAGATTACCCTCACCAGCAAGATTATCTCCACTTGCATCATTCTGACTCCTAGTCCCACTACCATCCCCAACAATATTATCATCACCTACATCAT